GAGAGGTAGGAGCTGGGGGAGCAGCCGGGTTGGAAGGAACAAGCGGTGACAACAACCTTCCCCCACAGCCTTCGGGACTCCCTGTTCTGCAGCTCCCTGGCGTTGGATGGTCCCCTGATGTCACCATCCCTCCTCCTGCCCAAGGACCCCTTGGCACCCACCTGGCACAGTGGTGACTTCAAGCCCAGCAACTTCAGCAGCACCTTCACTGGATCGCTCCTCACCAGCAAAGTCTTCCCCCCGCTGGAGGCTGCCCTGGGCACCGACAGCAGCTCCAGCACCAAGAGCCCCCATGGCTGCGGTTGGGGGAGTGGGGTGGGTATCTGGGCACCTTGGCACAGCAGCTCCTCTCCAGATTCCAAACCTCCTCCTGGCAATCCCGCAGCAGCCAAGTGGGTGACCGAACCCCTCAACCTGCAGGATGGGGCCCTTCGCCAGCCCCATGGCCCTGATGGCACCTGGGGATGCTGCAGCAGCACTGGGAGAGGAGAGCTCGTCCTCCAGCACTGAGGCTTCTTGACATTTGGGGTTTGGGGATTTTTCTTTTCTCTTTTGTTTTTGTTCTCCTGGCTCTCTGGAGCAGAATAACTCTGTGAGCCCCAAGAGCTGCGGGTGGTGGTGGTGCCGCTGCTCCAGGGGACAGGAGTTTGGGGTCCAGGAGGACGCTCGGGGTGGGTCAGCGTGTGAGGCGAGATGCTGAGCAGCAGCGGCGCTGGGAGCTGTGCTGTGCTGAGGCCAAGGGGACTGTGACCGCCCGGGGTCCCCAGCAGTGTCACTGGGACTGCACTGAGGAAGGGACTCAGCCCCCTGCCCCCCAGCACTGGGGGGATGCCCCGATGGGGACCTCACCCCACACTGTCCCCCAGCCAGACCCACAGAGGTGAGGCCGCTTCCCCAAGGTGCCGTTGGCCGCACCGGCCCCGGTTGTGGAGCTGGGGTGGGAAATGGGCAATAAAGAGCCAGGAAGTTTCAGGCACTTTCTGGCCAGTGCAGTGATTTTTGGGGTTTGTTTTCCCCCCCCTTTCCTGATGCTGCAGCTGCCCAAGG